ATGGATTTGATGACGTTGGTATCGGAATGTGCTAGATCGCACGGTGCCTACATACCCTCAACGAAATGCAATAAGCTCCCATTGCCCGTTCACCGTCGAAAGTTGTACTTGTCAGAAATTCCAATGGAACGAAATAACTCTGCTCAATTTGGTGTCCCAGACAAGCAATGGAGACCTCTGATACTACAAAAATGTACCAGTATCCTAATCATAAGGTTGTTATTCTGGGAAGCGGCCAAAGAAGTATTCACACGACATTTACGAAGGCGAACCATTCGATTACAGCTGTAAACTGATGTTTTCTGAGCCCTCCTTGGAAGCCATGGGACTAATTTCCGAGCTCTGGGCAAATTCGAAGTAGTAGTAGTTCGTAAAGGAGACCTCAACTAGGAAAAGATAGAATGGGGCACAACCCAGTAGAACCATTCTGGATTGCATTCGAATTCATGGCGCATCCCAAAACGGGATTGTTCAATACTGAGCTCATCGCATTTGACTCTTGCTCAAGCACTTACGCCTCAGCCCTCTACTTACGTCATGCTCATGAACGGGATCAAGTTCCTACAATTGTCCCGGTCACGTCAGGTGCACGGAAGTACTAGCCATGAATCATCATACTGTACTTGCCAGGCACTCTGTGGGAATGGGCAACCCACAGCTTCAGGAAACCCACTCAAATGCCTATTAAACCCGACCTAATGTCTCACGGAAAAGAACTGGTTCCCAGGTCAAAGGTTCCACTTTACGAGGCAGGCCTTTTGCCCCCTCTAATGATGCCTGGCAGGATTCGAACTTCAACTTAGGAAGGCAACAACAGCGCCTCTTACAGTTGCTCCCCCCCCCCTTCCCTTTCCCCTTAGCAGTAATACGAATGATTATCACATTAGGGCAAACAAAAAGTAGAAAGTGAATATGAATAGAATTGAAAATTATCGATTAAAATGGGAAACGATAAAATCGCCCTAAAAAACACCAATGACGTTCTGGCGATAATTCATGCATAACGAACGGTTTCGCATTGAAACGTGTGGAAATAAATCGAAATCGCCATAAATGGGCAATTCAGAATTTCATGATCACGAAGAAAAACATCAAATCATCGAGGAGGCGTTTGATGGCTCACCTTTCCATGCCGGACGGCCATCAGCAAACGGTGACAACAGCGACAGAACGACATCAGCGCTAGTGAAATTCACATCGAGTTTTGCAGCTTCCATACCGTCATTGATTGATTAATTTACAGTAGTTCGACGTCATTAATTAAGAATGATTGAATGGTGATTAGGTGAATTCCCAAGCCAATAGTGGGGATACGACAAGTTCTCGAACAGAGCCGATCAGATCAATGGCACAACCTTCGAGGGGCGGGGTAATTTGTGGGGAGTCTAGGAGCAGACGGTCGTCGAGGTAGTGTGAAAGAAGCGGAGTCGACAGACTGAATTCGAGAAAATATCACAATAAACGCAGAAATCGCAGAGACACCGATGACAATTTACACCCGCATAGGTAACACACAGGACAACTGATTTGCATACACTTGGCATTCTGTGTTGTGACGTCAAAGAACGGTACCGATTCTATTTACATACAACTGTTTGTTTGTTACGATTGAGGACCATTAGCCGCCGACTTGCTGAAAAAACCTGTACCCAGGTTCAAAGTCCAATGAATTTGATAGTTATTGATCTGTCATCTTATAAGTTAGAAGGCAAATTAATTAATTAGAAGTATCCCTTCTGCACAGAAAAGCACCAAATATGTAGGTTAAACAAAAAATCAAGTTAATTACGTTGGAGCCGTGGAGTGATGGGTCAGGCGTCATGCACGTGATTAGTTCAACACTTCGCCCTAAATTCCATGAACTGGGGTCCCTGCTTCAGTGATTTGGAGGCTTTTGGGCTCTGTGAAACATTGGAAAACACCGCATACTTCCAATCATATCCACCAATAGAGATGATGGTAGTACGCATGGCTTATCCTAAGCCGTTTACTAGGCGATAATTTCT